TACTAGATAGTTATTCGGTTGTTAACTTCAGAACCTTAGACCTGAACACCTCCAATTAAAAAAAAAAAAAAGGCTTAATTCAAAGAGTATCCAAATAATATGCTAATAAATAGTAGAATAAGATTATGATTCTTATTTTGATATGATTAATCTTAGTTATCCGATCTATTGGATTTGTATATGAAGTTGGACTGTTAGATTTACTTGTAAACTCTTATATAAAGTTAGCTAATATTAGGTTATTTTCGTTTCAAGTATTGTATTATTTTGAGAGCAAGAGAGTTTTCTTTTCGTCTCTTTCTTTCGGTGTTCGTTAGATTTTCTTGAGTTATATGCGATTCTCTGAACCATCTCTAAATTTGTATGTTTGAGAGTGGATCGATATGCAGGATGAGAAAATTTGCAAAACCTATCCCATCTTCTGATATTCCTCTCAACAGTGTAGATGCAAGACCATCAATTGGCTACCATTATTGTTAAATTGAATTATTCCGACTATTGAAAATTGATAATCACGGGTGAATATCCACAATAGTCATAGTCTAAAATAATCACGGAACCAAGGATTGACTATAGCCGTTGGACAAGTTTATTTCTCATTAAGTATTTATCAAGCCAATAATCTTTAACTTATTTGTCAGGCTAGTCTTGTCCATATATATATATATATGTANAACACAAGTATACATATTGGTAAGAAAAATAATTTGGAGCTCTTCTAATTGCATAGTATAGAAGAGATGAACGTACATATCATTTGTACTTGGCTCTCTGGTCGCAGCAGCACATGAACAGAAAAGTCATTTAAAAGATGATTTCAATAAAAAAAAAAAGAAAAAAAAAAAAAGAACAGACAATCCAGAAGTTAAATTTGTAGCACACAACAAAATGAATAAGGAGAAAGAGCAGTAAAAATTCAATATCCTTACCTATTTATCTTTGGACCTCTGCAAGATAACAAATTAAAGAAACTTTGAATTATTTTCCTTATTTTTAATGAATAAGCGAAATATTACAAACTTTTTAAAGATATTAGATACACATGTATCTTTGAAACTTTCGTAAGTGAATTTTCAAATGCAAGAAGAATTTTTATGCAAGGAAGAGAAACAGGGAAAAAGAGAACAATTGATGTTATTTCCTTACACATTCGTTCCTTGTTCTTCAAAATCATTATATGAAATATCCCTGCAAGATAATTATTCATAATAAATGTGAAAATATCTCTTTATTGTATATAGTTAAACACATAAAATTTCAAAAAAAATTAAGAGTGTGTGAGCATGACATACCTTTCTATGTTTTTCAACAAGGAAAAATTTAGAATACTATAAATTTATTTCACTTTAGAATTTTTTTCTGTCATTTATCTTTACATTAGATATGATTTATAGTTACCACATCAACAATACTAGAGCGATATCATAGACTATCCCAATTCCACTAACTTGGGGGTCAAAGGATTTACGTCAACCGGCCCTTATCTTTTATCATCATCATGAGCTGTCCTCCCCGTTACTATGAAGGTTTTCAGAGAAGCTAAGCACTTTCCAAGGAAGTTTGTCAAACTCCGTAAAGGCTACCAGAGTTGCATATCAGTTCTGTAGAAACATACCAAAACCTCATTGGCATGTTGTCTATCAGAAGCTATATTTACGTCCTTGAATTGGCTTTTACTTTCTTACACTGTTAGTTTACTTTCCACACACACACACACACACACACATATATATATATATAACCATCAAATTCTACTTGTTTTCCTAAATATAAATGCACTTAACCAGTCGCGGGTCTAGGATTTTTGTCCAAGAGTGCCTCCACAGCTCCGTCATTATTTACTAAATAACTAGTAAAAACTTTAAAAAATCATCAAACTTTAAGCAAAAAAAAAAAAAAA